GTGCTGGGACTTCTTTCTTGCATGTCACCGGGCATGGCAGCCCATTCAAATTAATGGGCTGTCATGCCTGTGCAAATCGTGGCCTGCACAGCCGTGTAAATTCGAACCTAGCCTTAAAGTTGTATAGGAGACTAATCCACTGACAAGATAGCAAATTAACATCAGGTGATCTTCATTCTCTCACTCAAGTTGGTCATACTGAGTAAGTAAAACTGAAAAAGCAAGCAAGTATACATTTTTTCGAAGGGGCAGTTCACACCATAAATTGCGCTGTGCAATTCACATGTATTACGGGTGCAGTACAATTTCAGCCCATTTGTTTACACCAAAAGTAGTGCAAGCACTACTTTACAAAAAGCACAGCAATCAGATTGTGCGTTACTACTGTACCAGTATGAACTGGTGCACTTCACTTGCAAACTGCGTCTGGGGTGTTGTTAACACGGACTCCCACTGCAGATCGCAAGTGCAGTGTGTTTTGAATATGGAATGCAGGTTTCCATATTTTAGTAAATCCACTCCATTGCATCTTCCATATCACAAAAATTAATAAACCAACTGTATCAAACAGAACAGTGTACTGGACTGCTTCACCTACTCTGTTGGTACATGGCTGCCCCAAGGAATGCTATGTTACCCTGGCAATAAAGGGTAAATAAAAGAGTTCCTGTGGTTCCAGGAGTGGTTGTCCACATGGGATGGCTGGGACTGGTGTCTCACAGGAACCTAGTCAGTGTGGCATGTAGATGGGTCAATTCACCAACAGACCAGGTTCATTACAGGCGGCAGGCAGAGGGAAACACTAAACAATTGTGACGGTGATCATAAAATAGTGTTGCTGGCTTCATTGGCTCTGGTGACACTGTACTAATGTGGCGGAATTCAGGGACACTGTTGATGCCTGCTCTGGTTCTGGAGACACTGTGGCTAGCTATTAGGAACATTGTTTATGGCTGCACTAGTCGGGCAACGCGATCACTGGTGTTGCAGCAATCAGGAACACTGTTGCTGGCTTACAATCTTCTGGTGATACTGGAACTCATGTGGCAGTAATCAGGAATGCTAGTGCTGGCTACAATGGGCTGGTGACAATCAGGAACATTGTTTCTGGTTTACAATGGTCTGGCGGCGATAACAAACATGATTGATATCTTACAGTGGTCTGCTGACACTTGGGAGTGGTGTGGCAGTGATTAGGAATACTGTTACTGGCTCACACTGGTCAGGTGACACGAACTGGTATGCAGCCATCTGGAACACTGTTGCTATCTGCACTGGTCTGCTGCAACAGCAATCAGTGTCTGACTACACTTGTATGGTGACACATTACTAATATGGTTTGTGCTCATGGACACTAGCTGGCTGCAGAGGCATGCAGCATCGCCAGAGAAGCCAGCCAGTGTCCCTGATCAATAGCCACCCCAGTACATTGTGATCATAGCAAGCAAAAAAAAAAAAAAAAAACACCTCCGCCAAACTCTGTCTCCTCTGACAGCTGATCGGTGTGAGAGGAAACAGAGTGCTGGCTGCAACATGCAGTCTTACATGTGTGATTGCTATGACTAGTAACAAATCATGTGGTACAGGGCCACTTTCATTAGCCCTGTACCCTGCTTTGTGATCTGCAGTGTCCAATGCAGTGCATGCTAAAGGGTGCACACAAGTGTTGCAAATGGGAGGCAGTTTTTAACTGGCCTCTCACCATGAGGCATTAGCCATCCAGCTATACAACAGCCGAATGGCAAGTAGGTATCCGATGAATGAATAAGATGCAGTGCTGATGTACTTTCTACTGAAAGGAGGGAAAGGTTTTCAGAACTAATTCTTAGAGAAAAGCTACCACACAAATGAACTGGATCCAGAGATTTCAAGTGTATATATACCTGAAAATTATTTTTGTTTTGGATTGAATGGGAGAAGGTTAGAATGCCTGTCTGGTTTTACTGCTATTTGGGGCTCCATGCAGTAGATTTCCCCTCACTTTCTGTTCTGGGGACAACAAACAGGAAGGGAAAATTTGGAACCATGGAAGCAGACAATAAAACGCTGGTGGGGGTACTAACTTTTCCCCACTCAAAGTCATCCCCACACACACAGATCTTAGAATGGAAATGGAGGTACTCATAGAAGCAGGTAAGTTTATTACCAAAGAGGCATCATATGTCTCTTCTGCAATGAAGAGCCAGTCTGCTCAGTTTTTTTTAATTGGAGACTTTATTAGCTCTGTTTAACAAAAAACACATTTTACTCCTGTCTCTGTTGCTGTTACAGATAGAGTTCCCCTGACTTCCTATCCTAGGAACAGCTTTTTTTTTTTTTTTTTGCCAGGTAGTAAGTGAAAGATTCCTGATGGCAGCAAAGTTTGCCATAAGTTCTAATTCTTCCCCACTCAAAACACATCTGAAACCATGGAGACAGACAATAAAAAGCGGACAGGGGTTCTATTAGAAAAAAAAACCCCCACACACAAAAAACACAAAAATAGGAACATCATTTTTATAATTATTATTATTATACAGGCTTTATATAGCGCCAACAGTTTTATGCGGGGCTTTACAACGTAAGGACAGACAGAACAGTTACAATACAATTCAATACAGTAGGAATCAGACGGCCCTGCTCATTATAGCTTACAATCTAGGAGAGAGGGTCGGTAATAACTGTGGGGAATGAGCTGTTGGAGAATATAAAAGTACAGTTGTTGGGTAAGCAGTATAGGCTTCCCTGAAGAGAAGTGTTTTCAGGGTTCATCTAATAGTGGATAGAGTAGGAGATAGTCAGACAGATTGGGGTAGGGAGTTTTGTAGGATGGGAGAGGCTTGGGAGAATTCCTGAAAGCAAGCAAGGGAGGAGGAAACAAGGGAGAAGGACATCTTGGAAGGAACAAAAAGAACAATTTGGTTGGGATTTTGAAACTACGTTGGTGATGTAGCTGGGGTTCAAGTTGTGGATGGCTTTGTATGTAGTTGTTATTATTTTGAATTTAATTCACTGAGTGAGCAGAAGCCAGTGAAGAGACTGGCAATGAGAAGTAGCATACACTGAACGGTTGGTAAGGTGAAGAAGTCTGGCAGCTGCATTCAAGATGGCCGGAAGAGGGATACCCTATATAAAAGGTATTCCAATGAGGGAATTGCAGTAGTTGAGGCAAGAGAAGACCAGGAAATGTATTAGAAGCTTTGTGGTGTCATTGGTTAGGAAGGGGCATATTTTGGAGGTGTTGAGAAGGCAACGTCTGGACGATTGGATGTGGGCCCAAAAGATAGTTCAGAGTCCAGGGTAACACCTAGTACCTTGGCATGTGGGGACAGGTTGATTGTTGTGCAATCGATCTTGACAAAGAAATCAGGGGAAGAGGCATGTGGGGAGGAAATATTATGAGCTCAGCTTTGGCTAGATTGAGTTTGAGAAAGTGATGTGACATCCAGAGTGATATGTTTTGTTAGTAAATTAGTGATGCATGTGAAGACTGATGGAGTGAGCTGATGGGTAGAGAAATAGATTTGAGTGTCATCAGTGTAGAAATGGTATTGGAAGCCATGGGAGATCATCAACTGACCCAGGGAGGAGGTATAAATAATACAGATCTCTCCCCTGTCAGCTCCTGCACACTGCTTTGTATGGCTCTGCAGAGCCATACAAAGTAGTGGGCTTGCAGTGAAACACAGATACAGTTAACCCTTTGATCGTCCCACGTTAACCCCTTCCTTTTAAGTGCCATTAGTACAGTGCCAGTGCTTTTTATTGGCACTGATCACTGTATTGGTGTCACTGGGGATGTCACTGACACCAAATCATTTCCCCCGTGTCAGAATGCCCGCTGCAGTCCCGCTATAGGTCACTGATCGCCACCATTACTAGTAGCAGAATACATATTAGCCTAAATTTATGGCGAAAAATTTTATTTTTTAAAAAAAATTTACTGGACATGTTTAATAGCAAAAAGTAAAAAATATTGTTTTTTTTTCCCTCAAAATTGGCGTTCTTTTTTGTTTATAGTCCAAAAAAAGTTTTTTAAAAACGCACAGGCGATCAAATACCACCGAAGGAAAGTTCTATTTGTGGGGAAAAAAAGAACGAAAATTTAATTTGGGTGCAGCTTTGCATGACCGCGCCATAGTCAGTTAAAGTTAAACAAACAAGAGATCCCTGTGCTCAAATCCCAAGAGCTAGTGCATGCATTTATCCATCAGGTGCTAAAGGGGCGTAACCACATATTAACACTAGAAATTCTGAAGGACCCTCTGCACACTGGTATATACCTTTTCAAGCAAACTATGCAATAAATAGGGATATTTGGTTCACACATATTGCAATACATGCTTAAGCTGGCCAACTGCGTCAAAGTAATCCCTCTATGGCCAGTCCTACTCTGCCTTGCCTATGCAAATGCTACTGTGGACACAATGCTAGCATAGGGGAAAAGACACAATGGGGAGAGCTACAAGGTTCAGGTCTGGCTACTGACCCAACAATACAACAAGCAAGAGATCCCTGTGCTCAAATCCCAACAGCTAGTGCATGCATTTATCCATCAGGTGCTAAAGGGGTGTAACCACATATAACCCCTAGCATTGTGCATTGTGTCCACAGTAACATTTGCATAGCCAGAGCAGAGTAGGACTGGCCATAGAGGGATTACTTTGACGCAGTTGGCCAGCTTAAGCATGTATTGCAATACTGATGCTGAAATTTGACATAATGTGTAATGCCTCACCTTGGGAGTGACTTCTTTGTAAATTTTGTAATCAACATGCGCGATTGTAAATATAATCAGGTTCTTATAGTAACAGTGTTCAAAGTTACAACCTAGCTATATGTAGAACCCTCATGGCATTCCTGCTGGTTGTTGTAACTTTGAACACTGTTACTATAAGAACCTGATTTTAGCTAAAATGTATACACTATATATATCAGCTTTTATCATTTTTAGAGCCTTTTTTTTTTTTAAATACACTTAGACTATATACATACTAGATATTCACAATAAGTGACCTCACCTGATAATATCTGTATACTCTCGATCACATCCCTTGCTTTCTTTCCATCTTCGATACATGACAGATGCATCCACATTAGCTGGAGAAAATGTGTTTGGTTCATTCAGAAGAGAGATTACACTGAGAAGAATTGTTCTGTGAAAATTCATTATACAATATCAAGTTACATTAACCATTTGATTGTCCCTGTATATAAGAACAGTAAAAAAAATCAAGCTGTAAAAATGAATTAACTGGCAAAAAGAGTCAATTTAGCGTAAAGCTAAAAAGCTCTCTGGGGGACACACTTTTTTGGTAATAAACCAAGGGTTATGTTGCAACCTACATGCTGAAGGCCGCTGCCCTAGAAGCTATAACGCCTGCTACCTCCTCAACCTGCTCAGGTGAAGCAAGCCATGTTCTATAATTGTCCATGTACGGAAACAGCTTTATGGTAATAAGCAACCAAAGGACACCCAAAAGCAGTTCAGAGGGGCAGGCACGCAAAAAAACACAGGAAAAGCTGAGAACAAAGGGAGGAGCAGGGGTGCTAAATAGCCACTAGTAGAACTTTCTAATCCCCTTACAAATAGTGGATCTGGAAGCCGGTGAACTTTTTTTTTTAGGACTTTCTGGAATAACAAATAGGAAATCTGTGCCTAAAAGGTGGTGGCTGAGGGGGTCACCCCTTTTACCACATTCAGATCATGTACAGAGATCTCACTGGTGCAGGACACAAAGGTAACACAATATCCACACTAAGGTGAAAGGAAGTGACCACTGGGCAAACAAAAAAAAGGGAAAAGGTTATTGGTCTCAAAATAACTTTGCCTTAGTGCAAAATCAAATGAGACTCCTTGGCAACTCAGACACCCTTCTAGCCAAAGTGATGGCCACAAAAAATGCTATCTAGATGGCAGCATGTGACAAATAGGCATAAGTAGGGCTTTTTGTAACACTGAGAAGAGTAAGATTAAATATCATGGATGGTATGGAGGCTGAATGGGGCATATTATGTGTATCCCTTTTGAATGAAAGTATGAACTGGTGAATTAGTAGCAAGAGGAAATGAAAAAAGGACAGGGCAGATGCCTGACCCTTGACCTTGCTAAGGGCTAAATGTTGTTCTCTCTTTCTTTCTTCCAGTTGGAGGTAGAACAAAGCCCACCAAATAGCCAAGTAAGGAAACCCCCAGTCCCACACCAGTGAAAAGAAGTCTTCTATGTGCAGTGATAAATCTTGTGGGATGTAGATTTTTGAGTTTTAAGCATGGTCAGAATAGCAGAATCTGTAATGCCTGTGTCTCAGAACACAGGTTGTAAACACCCAGGTCGCCAAAGAAAAAAAGGTGGAAAAAAACAATTGGTCCTTGAGATAATAGATCTGGCTGATCAGCCAGAGGTCATGGAGGAGTTGCTAATAGACATATGGTTGGTGTACCATACTCTGCGAGGTGAATCTGGAGTTATGAGAATGAATGGAATGCCCTTGCTTTCTATCCTTCGAAGGAGACAAAGTGGTAGCTTTAGTGGAGGAAAGCCATTGATCAGAGAACGCCGATTCCAAGGTGCTACCCAAGGCATCCGTTGCCAGGTTCTGAAAACAGACCTGTCAAACTTCTTGTTGAACCGAGACACGAGCAGAACCACATCCGGTAACACCCAAAGCAGAGAAACTTGAAACCCTGCCAGATGAAGAGACTAGCCCCGGTTCTCTGCTGATAAAATCTGTCTGCCAGTTCTCCCTTGGTGAATGTAAACCACAAAGATTGCTGGAACATGAAGGTCTGCCCATGACAGGACAGATTCTACCTGTGTCACCACTGCAACACTTCTGATGCCTCCTAGATGATTGATTTAAAACACTGACCAATGAAGAAGTGGCACTGTCCTCTTTAACCCAGACAGGATGACTTGTTAAGAAAGTGGAGTCTAGTGAAGCAAGAAAGGACAAATCACTTGCAACTCCAGATTATTGATTGAAAGCTTGGTAACCGACCAAACAGAATCCAACCAAAACTTTTGAGGATGAACAAAGGCATTTAGAGCCTTTAAATCCAATACAGGGAAAGTTTCAGATCCACTAAAAGGTTTATATAAAAGGAATTGGTACACCAACTCCCCCAGCCAACATTGAATGGCTAAAAAAAAAAGGTCTGTTTGTCATTGCAGAGACACGATGAGCAAAAAAATGAAGAAGTACTTCTAACTTTTTGTCATTAGGATCCTTAAGACAGAGCATCTTAGATAGCTCTGGTCATAGTTCATTAAGACAGGACATCCTAAACGTGGGAGAAGTAGATAGTTTTGGTGCCCTAGTTCTCTGCAAAGGGACAGGGTATCTGGAACCATTTGGGAACAAGGAATTGTTTGTCCATTTGTTTCAAAATCTTGTAAATCAATGCCATGAATAATGAATGAAGAGGAAAACCTTGGTTTGGGTCCATTAGAATCAAGGCCAGGTGCTGTGGTAAGTGAAGTAATGGGGCAATGCTCTGAATGTAAAGTGGAATGTACAGCCTCAATAAGAGAGTAAACAGTTTGCTTTTCTTTTGGCAAAATATCTGCTGCCTGAAATATAGCTGGCGGAGCTACCTTCTCCTGAGAAGGGAGCAATTCAGCATCCGACAAGGAATTCCACTTGGATCTGGATGTTTTTCATTGACAAAAAAAAAAGGGGTGCATATGTTACTAAAAGGAGCAACCCAAAACCGCCAGGACAGTTTACAGAGCCAGGCTGGAGTTGGTGTGGTAGGGGTTAACCATCCAGAATGGCTCTGTGACCAGACCACTGTTCCTCAGGTGGTTTGTAGGGAAAATCAGAATACCAATACCAGAAGCTGTGTTATAAAATCACTGCATGAAGAGAATAGGGCATAAATAAAGTGGTTGGTGGTGCTCCTAGCCTCTATCAGTGAAAACTTCTGAAAAGCAAAAGTGAGGGATTCCAGTAGCCAATGCATGCAAAATATAAAGAAACCGCATCACTGAGTCCCGGCCACAGGATAAGGGTGACAGGATGCTGTAAACACAGAGTAAACAGCTACTGTGTGCATAATGAAACAAAGTGTGTCACGAGGGTTCCTGACTGCAGAGAAAGGTGACGGGAAGTTTAAATTGTCTAAGGAACCCAGCCACCAAAAACCGTATACAGGCCATGGAAGAAATAAAAGAAGGGCTCCTAAACCGTTTACCTGCCCTCTGCAATGAGAAAGGCAACACATTAGATATATTCCCCAAGGTATCTGTGCAGCAGAATCATCAGCCACTGAAAAAAGCTCTACATATAGACCTGTCCACAGAGCACAGCAATAGCTTGCTAAAAAATGCACAATAGTGAGCCTATGGCTCTTGTTTTTAGATTGTATTGCTGATCCCAAAGTTCAGCTTTAAAATCACAAAGTCACTAGAAGGGTAGACAAGACCTGTGATGGCAATTGCAAACAGAATTATGATTTAGTATGATGCAGGCAGAAGTTTTCTTTGAAGAAGTGTATTTATTGTTGACCTTGACTAAAACTGTTGATTTTGCGTACACTCAAAGTGGTCTAAAACAAAACAAATCCAGCAAATGATTAAATCTGATGGATTCCATACTTTTCTGGGCGGAGCTTCTATAACACAGACCAGTTAAATCCATTACTGCAATAAAGAGTCTATGGTCAGACATATAAAGAAGCTGATGGAAGTGAAAGGCTTACCGCACATTTTGAGTAGGGTTCCACCGTTCAGAAGGAAGCTCTCCTCACTCTGGGGGTCATCTACTGGAGGATGCAATATGGAAATACACACATCTCCATTCTGTTAAGAAAATTGCTTATATGAAACAAACTCTACAATAGCTCAACATTATTGTTTTTTACTGCATGATTTGATTCGTCGAATCCTCCTCTAGCTTCCATCAATATTTAAATGGATTCAGTTGGGTTTCCTGATGAACAGCTTCTGGGATAAAATCTAAACCATTAAATTTACACTAAAATGTATGCAACTGGTGACCCTACCTTTCTGCCAACAACAGTCCCAACTATATGGGTCCCCAAGTAAGGCAAACGTGAAGGGATGATGGACTTTCATGGCCCCTGTCTAGGGATCTTTCGAGAGTTGCTCCTGCCTCCAAGAAAGGAACAGAAAAAGCAGATATGAAGCGTTGGAGAGTATCTTTTTAATTTTTGGACATCCTGTCCCCTGAATGAGGAGGAGGAGGAGCAACCTCTCTGTCAGGGCTGCTATTGTGGAGGAATTTGAAATTAGTTCTAAACCTCAAACTTGTGCAGATAGTTTGTGTACTGCAATACGGTCCTGCGGATGTCTATGTCCGTATTATGCATGCACACACATATGCATAACATGTGCATGGGTTTTTTTTATTTTATTATTTCTTATCTTTTTATAGGTGTCTAAATAGAAAAGGAGGGTGGCCTTTATCTTTATTTTGTATGAACTAATAAAGCTAAAGGCTGCTTTTCTAGCCATAAGCTTAGTTTGATTGCATACATAATTGTCCATTTAAGAAGGGGTACAGACAAGAACAGGGGCGGACTGACAACTCATGGGGCCCCCCGGGCCATAGGGGATCATGGGGCCCCGTGTCCTTGCCCACGCTCAAAAAAAGCCTATAAAAGGTACCAGGGGCATTTCATGGGGCCCCCTACTGACCCCGGGCCCTCGGCAGTACCCGAGTGCTCGAATGGTCGGTCCGCCCCTGGACAAGAAGCATGCACACACGCGTGTATGTATGTATGTAATGCATCCTGAGAAGTCAAAGGGTTAAATAAAACTGAAACATGAAGCTTTCCTTCCGTTGCTCATAATGAAAATTTTTGGTTTTCATTGTTCACTTCTTAAATCCCTGTGCAGGTAAACAACCTTATTTACCTCATAGATGTTTGGATGCCACATTTTTGTAAGGAATCGGAATGTTGGAGGAGAGTATGGATAATCTATTGGGAATTTCAGTTGAGCCTGTTTCAAAATGAAAAAGAAATAAAAACAATAACTTATATGAAAAATATACATATAAAAAACGACATAAATGGCATTTAATGGAAGGAAGAAGCTAGAGATCTCCAATTAGCAGAGTGCATGTGCTTTGCTGATCGCAGAGTCATAGGTCTGCAATCAAGCAGTGTCCAGGGGTGGCTGCCAGCAAGAATCAGTTGTAAATGCACACACTGTGTATGACTAGCAGAGGCTGTCAGATTTGTACTCTGTACAAATTAATGACTGGCAACGCTTCCGTTCACATGTAGCTGTTCATCCAAGCAGTTACATGCAAACAGAGTCCCTGACTGACCTTGAATATAGACAGTATGGGGTTTATTTACTAAAGCTGGAGAGTGCAAAATCAGACTCCCTTCTGCATAGAAACCAATCAGCTTCCAGGATTCATTGCCAAAGCTTCATTGAACAAGCTGAGGTTAGAAGCTGATTGGTTTCTATGCAGAAGGGAGTCTGATTTTGGACTCTCCAGCTTTAGTAAATAAACCCCTATATGTCCAGGGCACAAAATGTTGCTGCATTCAGAGGTGCTTTTTACTCACTTCTGAACACCGCAAACCATCTACAGATTTGTGACCATATAAATGTAGCCGTAAACTAGTAAACCACAAAACTTCCACATTTAAATTAAAATCTGATTTAAAGACAAAAAAAATGGTTGATTTCAACCAATGAAGTATACATAGCTTTTACTGTGGCCCTTGAAATCACTAAGGGGCTACAATTAACATTCAGTATACATAATACTACAAAAGATGACCATAGAATGACGACTTGATGAAGTAAAAAGACTATGGCCAAGCTTCATGTGTGGAGATTGGATACATGCAGCAGGATACAAGAGACAGGGACCTTGTTACATGAGACTGGTGGACATTCCTACTTTACAGCTCCTTTACAAAACACTCCCACTGCTGGCTACTGGTGTCCATGGGCTTTAGGTTGGGACTTAAAAAAAAAAAAAAAAAAAAACAATAACCACAGTTAAAAGCACTTTAGGGGTTTGAATAAGTGATTTAGTAAGGATATTTATGAAAACATATCTGGCAGGACATTAAATCTGGAGTAGAGCCAAGTAGCATGCAGTATCTTGTGTCCTTAGGACCAGGTAGTGGCTTTTTTCCCCCCCCCCCTCACTCCTGCTCACCACCACTAGTCTCCATTTGCAATAAATTCAGGGTTTGTGGATTCTTTGCTTTGAGCTTACATATCACTGGCACTGCCCCTCCGCATGCCCAAAGTACAGTTGAGGCAGTAGGGTGAGGAGAACAGAACCACTGACCAATTGCTTCTAAGGCTGGATTCACATTTGAGTGTAGCGTCTTAGAGCGATTTTCGCTTGTTTTTTCTAATGACTTTTGCACGTTTTCACACAGCATTTTTGAGCTTTGGCTTTTTATATTAGCCAATAGAGAAAAATATAATCTGTTGCATTATTTGTCGCTATTTTTTTCAGCTCCTTTAGCTTTTCCATAACCTTTTTTTTTCTTTTGTTTTATTATTCATTTTATTCTAATTTTCTTTCTTAGACTGGCCATACATTATACAATTTTCTTGAGAATTTTGCTTCAGATTTACCAAAAACCATATAATATGAGGTCAAACCTAAACTACACTTTCCGTTGTATTCAGTTAGGCAGGTCCTTGCACTACATAGTTGAAGGTAAATCTAAAGGAAATTTGGCAGAAATTGGACAGAAAATTGTATAGTGTATGGCCAGCCTTAGAGTAGGGTTTTGTCTCTTTTTCCTGTTTACCTGGTGCAGCAAGATTTACTCACCTAAAACCACATCTGCGTCCCTCACCAGTTCCATTTTCAAATGCAGGAGACCACTAACACTTCACGTTGATGTCACTCCTCTTCAGGATCTTGAGGCCCCTGTTACTAGACAGTCAATAGAAAGTGTTCACATCACATAGGCAGTCATGTGGACACCTAAAGACAAACCCTCACGTGAAAAGAATAGTGGAAAATGGGGACCGTAGAATTGCATCGCCAAAGATTTAGATGAATAAAAAAGGCCATTTAGATTTTTTTGTCATGTCTGATTAGTTATAGTGGGGTGGGGGTTAGTATTTGCCTAAGCATGGTCTTTATCCATTCTCAACTATTCAAAATTAAATGTATATAAGGTTTGGCTTTAGATATTCTTTAACCACTTCTCCACTGCGCTACAGCACAGCCCTCCAGTTCTGGGAGGGCGTCCCTGGACGTCCTCCCACGTACACACCTCCTGTGTAACCCCTGGGGCATGCATTGGCAGTGCTTTGTTACTGCTGTGTGCCTTGGCCACAGTGGAACACAAATTGGGATAAAGGGCCAATCACAGCAGCCCTTTACCATGTGATTAACTGTGTCCAATCACAGCTGTCACAGTGTAAACAGACTTAATTACTTAGCCAGTTATCGCCTCTCCTTTTCTCACACAGAGACCACGTGTGCGGGAAGGAGAGCCGGATCTGTGATGGGCACAGTGAATAAAGTATTTTACACTGATACACAGTGCCGTGATCATCAGTGCAGTCCCATCAGTGCCCTGGTTATCAGTGCTGCCACCTCAGTGCCCATCGGCGAAGAAGAAAATTACTTATTTTACAAAATTTTATAACTCGAACTAAAAAAATCCCCCCCCCCCCCCCCCCCCAACATGTCCAGTCTTTTTTTTCATTTACTTAGCAAAAAATAAAAGCCCAGTGATGATTAAATACCACCAGCAGAAAGCTTTATCTATCTATCCACAAAATGATACAAATTTTCATATGGGTACAGTGTTGCATGACTAAGTAATTGTCATTCAAAGTGCAACAGCGATGAAAGATGAAAACTGGCCTGGCCTTTAATGCAATGCCATTAAACCGGAGTTACAGCACAGCCCCTTTAACTTAAATCAGATGTGCTTGAGAATAGTATTGCCTGCTGAATGTAGCATGGGATATAATATGCTGTAAAGCAAAGCACCATGGCCACGGCATGTGTACCACCTTGTCTGGCCAGCATGAAAGGTTAAAGCGGACCTTCACCCTCCTGTCGCATTCTGTTGCTCTCCATACCACCCCCCCTCTGCAGCTCCAATATCTGGTTACTTTTTTTTTTTTTTTTTTTTTTGTGTTTCCTTACTAGTATATTTAGGCTTAAAAGGATCCACCCCCCCCCCCCCCCCCCCCAACTTTTGGAAATCACCTAGGCGAGTGACATGATGCCCTCTGTGCCTCCTAAGATGCATGACGTTCAATCCCATTCAGTAAGGAGGAGGGGGACAGGACTAGAGGAGCCTGCACCCGGAAGAGCTGGCAGCTGTCACAGGCAGCATGGTGGCGCCGGATCCGTGCAGTATCTGCAGAAAGGAGATCCTAGCAGCTCAACGCTGGACCCACTTGCTGGACCCACTAGCTAGGTGAGTATCCTAAGGCCTCATGTACACTGCTGTGCCTAAATTTGAGTTTAGAAGCTTTTGACGTTTTTTTTGCCAAAGCCCCTAAAATCAACTCAGTAAAAGCTTATGGGGGTGGATTTACTAAAGGTAATTATACTGTGCACTTCAAGTGCAGTTGCTTTAGATCCAAGGGGAAGCTCTGAAATGAGGCAAAGCTCTGCTTATTTCTTTCATACAATCATGTGCAAGCAAAAATGCTGTTTTTTTAATGTTCCTTGCATGTTCCCCTCAGATCTAGAGCTGCTGCACTTTCAGTGCACAGCCTATTTACCTTTAGTAAATGAACCCCTATGTGTCCATGTATACATAGGCTTTTACCAGAGTTTAGGGGCGGTTAAACTTTCCTCTCCTGAATGCAGAAGAATTGCGTTCAGGAGAAGAACGTTTTGGCCAATAAACGCTAAACATGGCAAAAATGCATGTAAATGCTAGAAACGTTTAATGCTTGGGCTTTTATTTATGTCAATGAATAAAACTCTGGCCAAACAAATGGCCAAGCACTAAAAGCAGGTAAACGTGTGGTACCATTTTTCTGCTGCCAAGAGAGCTAAATGTTTAGGGGCGTTTATATGTACTTGAGGCCAGACGCAGAAGACGGTAAAATATAAGCAATTGTGAAAAAAATTAAAAATGTTGGAGAAGGAAAGGTTGAAGTTCCTCTTTAACCACTTGATGACCTTTTAATCCCTTCCTGCCTGGTGTCATTAGTACAGTGTCAGTGCTTTTCATTAGCAATGATCACTGCATTCATATCACTGGAGATGTCAGTGGCAATAAGTCAGTTCCCACCTAGTGTCAAATATCAGTGTATAATGTCAGTGACTAGAAGTCGATAATCGCCGCCATTACTAGTATAAAAAAAAATTCCAGTATATATACTGCCATTTGTAGCCACTATAACTTTCATGTAAAGCAATTAATGTACACTTATTGGAATTTGCATAGCAAAGACATGTAGCAAATACATTTTGGCATAAATTTTATGAAGTTTTTTTTTTATTGGATATATTTTATAGCAAAAAGTCAAAAATAGTTGTTTTTTCAAAATTGTTGGTCTTTGTTTATAGCACAAAAAGTAAAACCGCAGAGGTGATCAAATACCATAGAAAAAATGCTCTATTTGTGGGAAAAGAATTACATAAATTTCATTCACGTACAGCGGTGTATGCCGTATCGCAAAAAGTGGCCTGGTCAGGAAGGGGTAAATCTTCCGGAGGGCAAGTGGTTAAGAGGAGTAGTTTTTTGGGGTTGTTCCCCCCGCCGCACTTGAAGGTGAAGTTCCACTGGTTTGCTCCCTCCCCCAGCCTGTACCTGAGTTAGTTTTTTTTTTTTTTGCGGAAAGGCATCAGTGGTCACTCTCCCTTCCGCATTCCTTGTCAGATGAGGATGATGCCCCGTATCCTCCCACAACATGTCACATGTTGCAGAAGGCTGCCGGACCATTCACAAAGTGCACCATGGGCAGTAGGGAGCTGGCTGTGGTTCCTCAGGAAGCCACAGCTAGCTCTGGTATCCACGATGGTGGCGCAGATGGCCTGAAGTGGTAAGGATAGACAGCACTGGACCCCAGGCACTGGTAAGAACCCGATTTTTAAGTCAGCAGCTTTAGTATATGAAGCTGATGACAAAAAAAAAGGGGAAGAAACATACTGAAGCTCTTAAGAGCAATGTCACTGTCACGATATGGGTTCTCTGCCAGTCCCAGTTATTAATCCCTTGTGTCCAGAGGAAGTGCATCCTCAAATTAGTATTCTACTCCTGTGTGCCAAATGCTCCTAGCTGTAATTAATGCGCCCCCTCCACCCTCCTCTGGCCAAAAGGTCCCCAAATTCAATAAATGTATTTCCCCCATTGTTATCCTGTTTATACAGCTACAAATTCAATTATTGTGTTTCCTTCCCTGTCCATCTTGCCCATTCTGTTGTGTGCCCAAATGTAGTACTCTCCCCACTGTCATCCTGTTTACAGCTACAACTTCAATTATTGTGTTTCCTTGGCCATCCTGTCCAGCCTGTTTGTGCCCAAATGTAATTGTCGCTATCTCTCCTCAGAGATAGCAGGTTCACACCTCTCCGCAGAGAGGTGCGAACCTCCTGTGGGGAATGTCCGGGTCCTGGCATCACAGTGAAGCCACACGGTCCGGACATTCTTATCGCCCGGACAAAGGCCGTGCTCATGTGAGCGTGACCCGTGTCCAGGGGTGTGTGCTTCGTTGCCGAGCAACGAGGCACGCCGCCCACGTTACCAGGACAACCGGGAAGTGTCTAACACCGGTTTAAGAGACCGGTGCTAATCTCTCCCGATCATCCACTCTGCTGTGCAGCCACTGAGGGATCCCAGCTGCGGCGGGACTCTAGTGGCCAGACTCTGCCTAAGCCCCATTGGAGTAAGGGGGACCCCAGAAGCTACGCCAGCCCTGCCTGAGACGCTGCCAGCTTTGCCTGAGACTACCACATCAGCTCTGCCTGAGACTACCACGTCAGCTCTGCGTGAGTGTATGCTTCCCCTGTGTTATCTGAACTGTTTATGAACTGCCTCCTACCACCCTGTTGGATTACAAACTGCTGTAGAGACTTTACCTTTGCGCACCGGGGCTGGATTACAAGTATTTTGGGCTCTCTCTCTCTGCACTACTTCCCATTGAGTGACTGTTGTTTGTTTTAATAAAGCTTTAATTGTTTACCATCTGCCTTGTGTGTTCTGTCCTGCCTACCCTCTGTCACAGTCACCCCTAGTCCACTTACCTTTTTCCCTGGGTTACTCTTAATAAATATTCTCCCACGCCCAGCAAATCCAGCGTTGTTATACTGCAAGTCCTGTGCTGGCATCTTCTTCTCTTATGCCATCAGGATGCTTCAGCTAATGGAGCAGGGTTACCTCATGCTCACCTAGGTGACAATGAAGGGAGGGAGCAGGCTGCATTGTCAAAAAAAAAAACAAAAACATTTTTGTTTTTTTCTTTTTTCAAATTGTGGTGAAAAGTCCTACTTGGCTGTGCAGATCCACTTGTAAAGCCTTGCATACACCCAGTGACGTGACTAGCCTCAGGTGATACACAGAGATTAAACAAATTCTCTTACACAAGTTGTACCTGTTTAGCTACAGGATCTCTCTTTACACCTGCTCAAAATGCAGAATTTATAAAGCTTTCAGAGTTCAGACAACAGAGGGTGGAGAGCTGAAATTACACACAGCAGAGCTCAGTGAGATGAGCTCTGAGAGCTGATTGGAGGGAAAGGACACATCCCCTTTCACACAGCTCGTGGGAACAGAGCTGAGGCTGTCAATCTGCTGAAGATCCCTTCCCGTCACCATTTTTCTCTTGGTGTCAGACAAACCTGCAGAAGCTGACATCAGAGGAAGGCAGCAGCAGATAGAAATGTCACTTAATGCTCTGTATTGACACAAATACACACTATAGAGATATATACTTTGTTCACATTTCATGTTTGAGGTTTACCACTTTAAAGCGAGGGAAAAAAATCGAAAACTGAGTTGTCACTAGAACAGGAAGCAGGAGAAAATCCTGCAATGCAGACGCCTTTTCTAGAGCCAGCTTTCACATTGATGTGGTGTGGTTTGATGGCGCTGTGGGTGTACGGCAGGGTCCCCACAGGTTTGGTACCGGTTAGCTGCCATAAAACTGCACCAAATCAGTGTAAAAGAGGCCTTAGAGAGATTCTCTCTCACTTCCTGTTGTGTCGCTAACAGGAAGTGAAGTTGAATCTCTCTACCAGGACACAAAAAAAAAAACAGACAGGGGTTTAACCCTTCATAACCCTATCCAAAACTAACAAAAAGAAAAAGTTTTGTCGTTAACCCTACTTTGTGTTAGTCTTCCTCAGGCCCAGAGTCTTCAGCCCCATCTCCTGCCCTGGCCAGGCCTGGAAGAAGCAGCCCAGCTGTGCCCCCATCACCTCTTCTGCTCACCTTGAAGTACCCCTCTTCGTAGAAGGTGCTGGGGGGCCCAAAGATCGCCACCTCCCAGTTGTACAGATCCCCCTCATCCACCAGGGTGACCCGGAACCCCTCCACTGGCTCCTCCTGCAGCCCCTTCAGCTCTAAGAGGAGCGCCTTCTGAGAGCTGGGCACCGGCATCAATTGCCGGGCCATGGCGGCTGTGCTCCGGAGTCTCTCTTTACAGCGGTCACTCGGCGCCTCAGGAGGGCATAGCACCCACAACGGCTCTCCGGTTAACTGCCACAGAAAGGGGGAGGCGCGAACTACAACTCCCAGCAGCCCGGGGGGCGGGGCCATGACGCCTCTCAGCGGCGCTGCTGTTGTGTCATGTGCGAGGGGTGTTGGGAACACAAGAAAGCTGTGCGGTGGGGGAGGGGAGAGTGTGTCCCCTCAGTGGAGGAGTGCTGCCTGGTATTGTATATTGATGACAGGGGCCATAGGAAGACAAAGCTCCCAACTGGAAAGGAACACAAGAGGGGACTTTAATGTGTTCCTGGTTTTGTTCTGATTTCTTCAACCACCAAAAGTCTTATACTGCACTAAGGTCGTATTCACATGGCTGTAACATGTTATTGCTGTTATTACACGCGTGATTTCTAGGGGAAACCGTCCTGAGTAATGATCAGTAAAATACTTGCGTTTCAATGCGTAAAGACGAGTATGTGTACATCATTTGTTTTGACTTCTGTTCTTACAAATACATATTTATTTCAGGTACTTGTATAGCACCGTCCATTTACACAGCGCTTTACATTTATATTGTACATTCACATCAGTCCCTAACGGGCGGACTGACCATTTGGAAACTCAGGCGCCGCCTGAGGGCCCGGGGTCAGTAGTGGGCCCCATGAGATGCCCCTGGTACCTTTTTCATAGGCTTTTTTTAGTTTGGGCAAGGACACGGGCCCCATGAACCCCTATTGCCTGGGGGCCCAATGAGTTGTCAGTCCGCGACTGGTCCCTAACCCTCAAGGGGCGTACAATCTAAGGTCCCTAACTCACATTCATACATACATATACTAGGGGTAATTTAGACAGGAGCCAATTATGCAGGCATAGATGGGGAGAAAACCAGCTGATTTTTCTTTAAAAAAACGAAAAATCGGTCGTTCAAGCGGTCGACGTTACCAGCAACGGTAAAAAAAAAAAAAAAAATCGGCCAATTTTCATCCAGTCTACAGCCGGCAAAAAGTGTCCCTGCAGAGAGCTCCGCTATTTCTTTGACAGTTCCTTGACATTTATAGTGGTTGCAACAATGTATTTGTATCCATTTAGGATACAGATGTTTTTATTCGGAAACAAATAGATACATTGTTGCGACTGCTATAAATGTCAAGGAACTGTCAAAGAACTGTCAAAGAAATAGCGGAGCTCTCTGCAGGGACACTTTTTGCCTCACTGGAGTTCCTCTTCTTCATCCTCTTCTTCTCTTCTTCTTCCTCTTCTTCTTCTTCCTCTTCCACTTCTTCATCCTTCTTCTTCTTTCTTCTGCTTCTTCTTCTTCTGCTTCTTCATCCTCTTCCTCTTCTGCTTCTTCATCCTCTTCTGCTTCTTCATCCTCCTCTTCTTCTGCTTCTTCATCATCTTCATCCTCTTCTTCATCCTCTTCTTCTTCTTCATCCTTCTTCATCCTCTTCTTCTTCATCCTCTTCTTCTTCATCCTCTTCATCCTCTTCTTCCTATTCTTCTTCTTCCTCTCTTCTTCATCCTCTTCTTCTTCATCCTCTTCTTCATCATCCTCTTCTTCATCATCCTCTTCTTCATCATCCTCTTCTTCATCATCCTCTTCTTCATCCTCTTTTCTTTTTGTCTTCCTCTTGCAGGTCACTGCTCATGTGCAGATTTTTTTATCGGTAAAAAGATCGGCCAATTTGCCCATAATTGCCGCGAAAATTGGCCGATCGGCAAAATCGGCCGATTTTTCTCCAACTTTACCGATAAAAAAAATCTGCCAAAATACCGAAAAACGGCCAAACAATTAGCCCACTAACGATCCGAAAATCATCCGATTTTATTTTCGGCCGAAAAAATCGGCCGATTTTCCACCCATCTATGGCCTGCATTAACCTGTGTAATTAATGTGTTCGGTTTTAAAGGGATGAGGTGGCAATCCTAATCTGGTCTCCAATCAACTTCTAACTTGGGCTTGTTCAATTAAGCTTTGGCAATAAAACTTGGAAGCTGATTGGTCTCTATTAGTGATGGGCCAAACACCCGCCTGTTCGGTTCGCGGTCAAACATTCAAACCTAATGAAAGTTCAACCGCGAACTTCAAAGTTAAAGTGTTACTAAACCCAGGACCCTGCGTTCAATATATCTGGTCTCCCACAGTACACACAACATGGAATTGTAAATATTATAGTTACTGTTTATTTCAGGTACTTGTATAGTTCTGTCAATTTACGCAGCGCTTTACATATATATTGTACATTCACATCAGACCCTCAAGGGGCGTACAATCTAAAGTCCCTAACGTACATTCATACATACACATACTAGGGCCAACTTAGACAGGAGCTAATTCACCTACCAGCATGTCTTTGGAGTGTGGGAGGAAATCGGCGTATCCGGAGGAAACCAACGCAGGCACAGGGAGAACATGCAAACTCCAGGCAGGTGGTGCCGGGGTTGGAATTTGAAACAACAACCCTAGTACTGCCAGGTGGAAGTGCCATTTAGCCACTGTGCTGCCCATACATATATATGGATTTATATACTATATTGCCAGAGTATTGGGCCAGCCCTCCAAATCATTGGATTCAGGTGTTCCAATCACCTCCATGGCCACAGGTTTATAAAATCAAGCACCTAGGCATGCAGACTGCTTCTACAAACATTTGTGATAGAATGGGTCACTCTCAGGAGTTCAGTGAATTCAAGAATGGTACCGTGGTAGGTTGCTACCTGTGCAATAGGTCTAGCCTTGAAATTTCCTTGTTACTAAATATTCCACAGTCAACTGTTAGTGGTATTATAACAAAGTGGAAGCAACTGGGAACAACAGCAACTCAGCCATGAAGTGGTAGGTCACGTAAAATGACAGAGCGGGTCAGCACATGGTGAAGTGCCCAGACGTCACCAACTGTCTGCAGAGTCAATAGCTAAAGACCTCCAAACTTTGTGTGGCCTTCAGATTAGCACAACAACAGTGTGTAGAGAGCTTCATGAAATGGGTTTCTGAGGCTGAGCAGCTGCATCCAAGCCTTACATCACCAAGTGCAATTCAAAGCATCAGATGCAGTGGTGTAAAGTACGCCACCACTGGACTCTAGAGCAGTGGAGATGTGTTCTCTGGAGTGATGAATAAGGCTTCTCTGTCTGGCAATCCAATAGACATGTCTGGGTTTGGCAGTTGCCAGGAGAACGGTACTTGCCTGACTACATTGTGCCAAGTGTAAAGTTTGGTGGAGGGGGGATTATGGTGTGGGGTTGTTTTTCAGGGGTTAGGCTTGGCCCCAGTTCCAATGAAGGGAACTCTTAAGGCATCAGCATACCAAGACATTTTGGACAATTTCATGCTCCCAACTTTGTGGGAACAGTTTGGGGATGGTCCCTTCCTGTTCCAACATGACTGTGCACCAGTGCACAAAGCAAGGTCCATAAAGACATGGATGAGCGAGTTTGGGGTGGAGGTACTTGACCGACCTGCACAGAGTCCTGACCTCAACCCGATAGAACACCTTTGGGATGAATTAGAATGTAGACTGTGAGCTAAGCCTTCACGTCCGACATCATGGATGACCCACTTTGGGGTGGAGGAACTTGACTTGCCTGCGCCTCAACCCTTTGGGATGAATTAGAGCGGAGACTGCGAGCCAGGCCTTCTCATCCAACATCAGTGCCTGACCTCAAAATGCACTTCTGGAAGAATGATCAAACATTCCCATAGACACACTCCTAAACCTTGTAGACGGCCTTCCCAGAAGAGTTGAAGCTGTTACAGCTGCAAAGGGTCGGCCAACTCAATACTGAACCCTACGGACTAAGAGTGGGATGCCTTTAAAGTTCATGTTCGTGTAAAGGCAGGCGTCCTAATACTTTTGGTAATATAGTGTATGTGTAAAGTCTGCCACAGATGGAGCGATTTTATTTCCTACAATCACTTGATTCCTCCGTTAACCTCCCTGGCGGTATGATTATTTCCGATTTTCTGTGCTGAAAGCGGTACCATTTTTTTGCATGGAAATATGTAGTTTTTTTATTGTAGGCTGTAATTTTTAGGAATAACTCACTGAAATCTGTACGAACAAGAGTCTAGTAAACATCCCGGGTAGGATAAAATTTGAAACACGAAATCATAAATTATAATTTAATAAATAATCATAAAAAATAATAATATCATAATAATACATTTAATTCAATAATATAATCAAACCAAAAACACTGAAATTTGAAATACAGAGGCAAATTTGCACATCGCTGAGCAAAGTCGCAAAATCGTTTTCAGTGATGACGAATTTCCCCACGAATCATTATCACTCAGTTCTGGAAGTGGTTCTAATTTACTATCGCTGTTCTCTAGCTGGTCTAAAACCACTTTTGACCTAAAGGGACGCTTTTTGGACTCCATGGACTTTTCTAAGTTTCCAGGCAGAAAGAACAGTCAAAATGCAGGCAGGGCACAGGACAAAGCAGTAGGGACAAAATGTATGTGAAATGCATTGAAACAGCAATGTTTTACTATGTAATAATCATTTAAAAAAAAATGACATTTTTTAAAAATTTCAAATTTGCCGCCGGTTCCGGCGCCTGTACGTCCCGACGTCACAGGGACCAAAACACGGAAGCCGGATGCCGACATCGGCCGGAGGAGATGGACGGGGATGCTGCAGGGGACACATCGTGGGAGCGAAGGACAAGGTAAGTGCTGCAGGGACTCCCTGAGCAACGCCGCATGGTAAGCCCGAGTGTAGCTCAGGGTTACCGCTTGTGGTGCTCAAATTTTACCCCGAGCTACACTCGGGAATACCGCTAAGGAGGTTAACACAGTCAGTGTTGATGGGAGAATCCCTCCTGCAGAGCCATTGTGTTCTTCTGGTGGGGGAAGTCTTCCATGCCGGGAGAACAACGTGATTGCTGCTAGCGACTCTAATAGCTGCTAGCATTAATCACATGTAAAACTCAGTTTTAGACCAGCTAGGAAACAGCGATAGTAAATCAGAACCACTTGCAGAATTGAGTGATAATGATTCGTGGGGAAATTCGTCATCAGACACTGAAAACGATTTTGAGACTTTGCTCAGTGATGTGTGAACTTGGCGCGATATTTCAAATTTCAGTGT